AGAGGCACCCGAAGGTAGGCAGTGCAGCCCTCGATAAGGCCGGGAGGAAGCTCATTGAGAAACCGAAGGGTTCCGATAAAGTGATCGCTATCAAGGCGTCGCCGTCGCCTGAGGAGCTATATTTGCTGGGCTTCCGGCGTTATCGCCTTCCGGAGGATAGGGACGAGAAGTATCCCCTGATTGACCGAGGATACCAAAACTCCGGAGGTTGTTCCCGAGGGCTCTTGTGTCTAGTACTTAGAATATTCCTCCTTGACTAATTCTGATGCTAACTCTTTGTTGTCCTTTGCAGGTGATATCATGGATGTGCAAGCCTTTGCGCAGTTGTCCAAGAAGCTGGCCAAGGTGCCAAAGAAGAAGAAGGAGGAGGGGCTCTCGAACCAACCCCTCATCGACGAGGTTCTCAAGAAGGCCGGGGCCTCCAATACTCTGGAGGGTGGGGGGCCCTCTAAGGAGATTTCTGTTGCTGGCGCCGGTGCTGGTGCCGGGGGCTCCCAAATTGGAGAGCTCAAGAGGAAGAATGCCGGGAAGGGCGTCATGCCTCCGGAAAACAAGAAGAAGAAGAGGGCGGATGGGGGCAAGGATGCCCCCTTGGTGATTATCGATGAGCCCCTACCTTTTAGCCCTCAGAGTCCAACCCCCTGGAAGATTTCGACGAGGGGGCCTGGCCTAAAGAAATGGTGCAGTTCTCCTTCAAAAAGGGGACTGCCATCATGCACGGCACCCTCGATCCGAGGGAGTTCCTGAGGGGTGCAACTCCCCCGCTGGACCGGTCCACCCTCGGCCGATTTGACGACGAGGCCCTTGAAGTCAAAGCCCTCCAGGCCTCGGTCTCTGTAAGTTCCTGAGTCTCTCGCAATTATTTTCTTCGCGTCCCTCCCTTTGCATGTTTTTGTAAGTTCCTGAGTGTCCTTTCTTTTTGCTTACAGGCTAGCCTGGCTTTCGGAGAATATGTCCGGAGGATGGAACAAACCCGCCTCCGGAAGGCGGAAGATGATGAGGCCCTTAAGAGGCTTGTTGCGAAGAATACCGAGGCCATCAGGAAGATGGCTGAGCTGGAGGAGGCCCTGAGGCAGGCGGGGGAAAGGCTGGAGGCCGCCAAGGTGGAGGCCCGGGCCGAGGGCAAGGCTGAAGCTGAGAAGGCAGCTGAGGAGGCCTCAAAGAAAGCTGCTGATGAAGCCGAGAAGGCCAAGACTGAGGCCATGGCCAAAGCTAAAGAAGATGCTGTTGCTGCTTTCCTCGCTGAGGGGTGGAAATTTGATGAGCACCAGGGATGGGTGGCCTCGGTTATTGAGCAAGGCGTCGGCGCTTGGGTGAAAGGCCCCGGGTCTGAGTGGATGGCCCTGAGAGGCAAAGATTATTTTGATGGGGGGAGTTCTTCACCCAGCGCCTAATATACCGGAAGCTCGCCCAGCACTTTGGCATCCCCAAGGACGAGTTCGATCCTTCAGCATACGGGCTTCCTCCCCGGCAACCTGATGTCCGAGTCCCCCTCCCGGAGGGTGAAGAGAGGGTCCAGCTTGCCGATTCGGAGCTGATAAGGGAGTATGGTCTCAACGATGAGGAGGGAACCGAGGATGATGCTACTTCGAGGGCGAAGGAGGATGGAGCTGAAAATGCTTGAAACTCCTTTAAGCATAACTTGTAATAGATAAGTAGGCTTCCGGCTCCGGCCTCATATTGTAAACAAACATCTCTTGTACTTTAATCGTTTTCCTTTTGAATGAATGACGTGCCTCCGGGCTTTTTGTATGAATGAATGCCTCATTTCCCTTCTAATTATGTTTGCCTTCGTTCTTTTCCTTTATGAATGTATGCCTTTCTTCACTTGGATGAATGTATGTTTGTGGACTTAGAAATTTTCCTAAATAAAACCTGGCAACAAGCCTCCGATTATAGTGTGAAATTACCGGGGGGTTGTTGTCGTGGATTTGGAAAATTTTATAGTGTGAAATTTTCCTAAATAAAACCTGGCAACAAGCCTCCGGATGTAGCGCTGAAGCATTGGGGGTCATGATTGTGGACATAGAAAATTTCTCTAAGTGAGATTCCATGGTATGCCCCCGGCAATGAACCATTGTCATCGCCTCCAGTTGTAGTAGTAGGACCGAGGGCTAAAATGAATTAGACTTAGGAAATTTTCCAAGTGAAATTGCATCTTATGCCCCCGGAAATGCTGAGCCTTCGATTAGCAGCGTAGCTTTAGGTCATTGCCAAGTAGTTTAGGGGGCCATCGGCCACGAGCCTGTAGGTGAAGAATTGCCCCCCGAAGGGTCCCCATTTGTGGACTTAGTCATTTTTTCACAAAGTTTGAATAGATGCTGTAGTGAACCTTTGAGTGCGAGAATTGCTTGAGCCTCCGGTGTGTATAGTTGCCGAGGGGTTCAGGATAATGGACTTAGTGAAATTCTGAGATTTGTCTTCAACAGATCTTGTGAGTAGCCCCCCGGTTTGATGAATGCGTTCCGAAAGGTTCCCAATCGTGGACTTAGGAAATTTTCCATTATCGAGTGAGTCTGGTAGCATTCCGCCTTCGGCGTGAAGCCTTCGGTTTCTGTAGATATAGATTTAGCTTGCCTTAGAACTTCGTGTAGTCTTCGACATGAAGCATAGTTGATCTGCTTCCTCCAATTTTTGGTGAATTTTTCATAGTGAGCCCTCTTGTTGGGCCTTCAAGGCTTCATATAGTGAAGCCTTCGGCCATGTAGCCGGCTGACTTGTTGTTGAGAGATTTTCTTGTCCTTGTAGGAGCCTTAGGGAATGTATATCCAAAGGGTTGAGCCTCCGGGGAGAATAGTATCCAGGGGGTTCCTTCCCCCCTACACATCTTTTTTTTTTTGAATGATGTAGGAGAGACATCTAGAAATTTGGTTTCTAGGAAAGGCTTGGCCTATATGGGAGGCAACGGAGTAAACCGTTGGCTCTCCCTTCGGGAATGACCTTCCGATATCCCGAAGGGTTTGAGGGTCGTTTCCTCGGCCCGAGACATCGTCTGTTGCCTGCTTCCCCTTGGGAGATAGCACGGAAAGCGCCTCGGTTTTGAAAGTCGTCCCCTCAGCCCGAGACATGGTCTGTTGCCTGCTTCCCCTTGGGGGATAGCGCGGGGAGCGTTTCGTTTGTGGAAGTCAAATCCTGGGCCCGGGACATGGTCCGTTGCCTGCCTCCCCTTGGGGGATGGCGCGGAAAGCGTTCCTGGGAAGGGTTTTATTTGTGTGTGGAACACAAACAGCCGGGGGCACTTGGTGCCAGCCGGAGCCGAGGGGTGTTGCGTGAGCACTTGGACCGGATGAGCCTGAAAGTAGTGGCCAAGCTTCTTGACGGTCCAAACGATGGCTAGCACCGTCTTCTCGACGGGAGAGTATTTGAGTTCGGCCTCCCGGAGGGTCTTGCTGACATAGAAGATGGCATGTTGGATGCCCTCTTCCTCTCGGATCAGCACTGAGCTGATGGCCGCCGGGCTAACACCGAGGTATAAGTACAAAGTCTCCCCCACCTTAGGCTTGGAGAGTACTGGGGGAGAAGAGAGGTACTTCTTAAGTTCGTCGAAGGCGTCTTGACATTCAGATGTCCATTGGAAGCCCGCTGTCTTCCTCATGATTTGGAAGAAGGGGAGGGCCTTCTCAGCTGATTTGGAGAGGAAGCGGTTGAGGGCCGCCAGGCGACCCGTCAATCGTTGAACTTCTTTGACGTTGCGTGGAGGCTCCATGTTGATGATGACATGAATTTTCTCGGGGTTGGCCTCGATACCCCTTCGGCTTACCATGTAGCCCAAGAATTTTCCTCCTTGTACGCCGAAGGTGCATTTCTTTGGATTCAGCCGGAGATTGAACCTTTGCATGATGGCAAAGATTTCCCGGAGGTTGTCGGCGTGAGTGCTTGCCTTCTTGCTTTTGACGATCATGTCGTCAACGTAAGCCTCCATAGTGCGTCCTAGGACAGCTTGAAAGACTCTTGCCACCATGCGGGTGTAGGTGGCGCCTGAGTTTTTTAGGCCGAAGGCCATCACAAGATAGCAGAAGATGCCTTCGGGTGTCATGAAGGCAGTCTTTTCAGCGTCCCCCTCATGCATGTAAATCTGGTGATACCCGCGGAATGCGTCGAGGAATGACATGATTTCGCATCCCGCGGTTTCATCCACCAGTTGATCAATGTTTGGCAGGGGGAAGAGGTCCATAGGGCACGCCTTATTCAGATCTGTGTAGTCCACGCACATGCGGAAGGTAGGAGGCTTCTGCGCGAGGACCACGTTTGCCAGCCAAGAAGGGTATTTCACCTCCTTGATGTGTTTGATAGAGAGGAGCGTGGCCACCTCCTTCTTCACGAACTACCTTCTCTCGGCCGAGAGGGGTCTTCTCCGCTGCTGCACTGGTTTGGCCGAAGGGTCCACCGCTAGGCGGTGGGTGATGACCCTTCAGTCGATTACTGGCATATCCTCCGGCCCCCATGCAAAAACAATGGAGTAGGCGCGGAGGGCTTCGGTGATACCAGCCTTCAGGTCTTCGGGGAGCTTGGCTCCAATCTTCAGGACTCTCTCCGGCTTGGCCGGATCGAGTATCAAGTCTTCTGTCTCCTCGGCAGGCTCAGCCCTCGGCCTGCCTTCTTCTTCCTCCAAGGCCTTGGTGGTGATGGTGTCAACACGAAATTCAGTTTTACTAACCTTCTTGGTAAGTTGAAGGTAGCAGGCCCTGGAGAGCTTCTGATTCCCCCTCGAGTAACCGATGCCGGTAGGCGTGGGGAATTTGAGGCAGAGATGCCTCATGGAGATGACGGCTTCCAAGTCTTCGAAGGCAGGCCGGCCGAGGATGATGTTGTCAGACTCAATTGAAGTTGATTAATTAGACTTATTTAAATCTCAAACAGATCAGATTAGATAAGACTTTAATAGACCAAATTAGATCAACCGGCCTAGGTCAGACCAGAAAAGACTTTGATAGTTATAAAATACATTTATAAAAGACATTTATCAGAGCAAATTAAACTTATATGAGAAGCAAGTGAAATATCCATAACCATAGACAATGAAAATTACAAATATAGTCATCGGTTTGTGAATAGGAAGTACTACGTAACATTTTATCTATGGAATTTATTTAAATCACACACAAATCATTAATTACTTCTTATTTTTACACACTCAATAGTCAAGAATGACATTTTTTAAACTTAAAATGCCACTCACTATCCAAGACATTGAATTTCAAGTGACAAGCACTACACAAAGCATTTGGAAGACCATTATCATGCGACTAAAGTATAGACAGACTAAAGCAGATGATGAAAGCCGGCCGACCGGTCCAATGAAATGGACTGCGATTTGTGTTGCGCTACGACTTCAAGGACCGGTCACACTTCTTGACGGTGAAATGACGGAAGAGGGCAACTCGGTAATTTCCTGGGCCGCCGGTTGCTGGTTCTTTTTGTTGATATTGTTTTTTACATCTCCGTAGAAGTAAGAAACAAATCCCCAGAGGGAGAGGAAAAGAGAAATGCCCTTCTCGGCCTCGAACTTCTCGTGGTAAAAGATGACGGCCAATAGCTCCGTGATGGGGAGGAGGACGGTGATGATGACCATAGACAGCAGAGATGAGCCGTAAGACGTCACTCCAAGGGCTCCCACGAAATAGAACTGTGAAAATATTGCATTCCCCACTATTATCAAGTAGTACTTTGTTTTTCCTAATTCAAACTCTCTTGCTTCCCTTGTTATTGCCTGCACAATTTAAACAAATTTTGTAAGGAATGCTTGGCATATATCTGTACACATATTTTCTACTCATTTTTTATTTATCTTTTCTAGCTAGTTGTTTATATGTAAGGCAATTTCAGAAATAATTGTCTATGTACATCGATAACTAATAAGGGAGTGTAGATAATATGTGTACAAATTGTATGTACCAATAGCATTTTGCAAATTAGTAAACAATAAATATGGATAATGGAATAATTTGTACTCCCTCCGTACTCTATTTAAGTTCTTAGTTTGACTTCACACATATTAATGAAATAGATTTATTGAGGGGTAAATATTACTATAGAGTGCACTATTTTGCAATGTTTTGACATTGTTTAACACTGTTTTGGTGTAGATTTGTTTGCCAAATAAGGAAGTGTGAACTTGTTTGGGACATCCAAAAAGGAAAGTGGGAACTTAAATAGGGTACAAAGGAAGTAATAAACAAAATTTGACACATAGTATAACTCTCCTTCCCTTCCACATTTTTTTTCTCATTTTTATGTTCATCCCACTAATTAATTAAGTTTGTCCCTTACAATACTTTGTAACATTTAGCTGGTGCGATAAAAAGTTAGAACCCGTTTGAATGTTTGATAACACTGAAATTGATGAATCGGTTGATTCTGCTGAAATATATGAAATGGCTATACTGATGGATGGAATCTGCTGATTTTCGGATATTTGAATGTTAATGTTTTATCGGGTTGAGCTGATAATGATTATAATAGCCTTCAAGTAATAGTGGGTGGATTAAAGGGTTAAGGTGCAATCGGGTCACTAAGATATACCTGAGAGAGCAAATAAGCCACTAAGCTAATTCTTGGAGCAAATAACACACTTTTGATATAGTTATATTAGCAATTATCAAGAATAAAGAACCTGGACTGAATTTGCTTAAAAATATCTTCATTTAAATCACCATGTAGAAAAGCATTGTTTACATCAAGTTGATGTAAAAACCAGTTTTTAACACTAGCAATGGCCAAAACAATTCTGACAGTGGTTAATTTAACAACAGGAGAGAAAGTATCAAAATAATCAAAACCTTCTTCTTGAGTATAGCCTTTTGCTACTAATCTAGCTTTATATCTATCTAAAGAGCCATCAGGTTTTAGTTTTGTTTTAAAAACCCATTTACAACCAATAATATTTTGATTAGGAGGAGGTTGAACTAATACCCAAGTATTATTATTTTCTAAAGCTTGAATTTCATTTGACATGGCATTCTGCCATTCAGGGAACTTGGCAGCCTGCTTATAAGTTTTAGGTTCAGTAAGTTTTGAAAGAGCAGCAGTAAAGCAAGAATGAGAAAGACCTAATCTATTGGATGTTATATGATTTTGAATAGGATATCTAACAAGATTACATGAAGAAGAAGGAGGAGAAATACCTGCAGTGATTGAGTTAGGTAATTCATAGTTGTAATCTTGAAGGTGAATGGGTAGAGATCTTACTCTGGTGGATTTTCTGTGGTTCTGATCTTCTGAAACAGTGTTATTAGTAGTAGTAGAAGTATCTATATTCATGGTATTGATTTCCTCATTGATTTGGTTATTTAAATAGTGATTAGAAGCTATGTGATTTTCATACGTGTAAGCATCAGAATTAGAATAGTCCAAAATAAAGTCAGAATCCATATGATTAGAAGAATCAGAATTACTTTTGTAGGGAAAAATCATTTCATAAAATTTAACATTTCTGGATATAAAAAATTTGTGGTTAGAAATATCATATAGTTTATATCCTTTTGATCCAAGAGGATACCCAATAAAAACACATTTAATAGCTCTTTTGTCAAATTTTGATCTATCAACAGACAAAGTAGAAGCATAGGCAAGAGAACCAAAAACCCTAAGATGGGAATAATCAGGCACCTTACCATATAATAATTCATAGGGAGATTTATTATTAAGAATAGAACTAGGAACTCTATTAATAATATGCACAGCAGTGAGAATGCAATCTGACCAAAAAATAAGAGGTAAACAAGACTGAAAAAGAAGAGATCTTGCAACTTGAAGAATATGCCGATGTTTTCTTTCAACCCTAGCATTTTGTTGAGGGGTTTCAACACAGGATAATTGATGAATAATGCCATTATTATTATAGAATGAAGGAAAAATAAATTCAGTGCCATTATCAATTCTAATAACTTTAATTTTAGTATGAAATTGAGTAAGAATCAGATTGTGAAAATTCATCATATGAAATTTAACTTCAGATTTGTTTTTCATCATGAAAATCCAAGTGCAACGAGTATGATCATCAACAATAGTTAAAAAATATTTGAAGCCAGAATAAGATTCAGTTCTAAAAGGACCCCAAACATCCATATGCACAAGATCAAAGGCATGTAAAGCATAAGAAGTACTATTAGGAAAAGGTAATTTCTTTTGTTTTGCAAAATGACAAATATCACAAAAGGTATTTTTATTCATATGATGAGGCAGATTACAATTAACAAGAGAGCTCATTTTATTGAAAGGTAAATGACCTAGTCTATAATGCCAAATATCAGATTGAGAATCTGAATTAGAACTATGAACAGTATTGGCAACAGAAAGTTTATTTGTTGGCATGGAGGATTCAGATGGATTATAGAGATATAGACCACTTTTAAGATCAGCATAACCAATCATTTGGTTGGTGAGAAGATCCTGCAAAGTAGCATGATTAGAAGAAAAATGAACAGAAATATTTTCATGAAGAACAAGACTGGAAATAGAGATGAGATTAAAATTAAATTGTGGAACATATAATACATTATGTAAAGTAAATTTGTTATTTAGTTTAATATCACCAATGTGAGTGGCAGTAATAAAACTTCCTGTAGGTAATTGAACATTAATAGAAACAGTTTTAGGATAAGAAGTATATAAGTTGAAGTTATGAGCCATATGATCAGAAGCGCCAGTGTCCAAAATCCAAATAGAAGATTGAACATTAGATATAAAAGCTGAATGATTACCAATGAAATGAGAATTATGAGAAGACTGATCAAGAGCATTAGGAGCAGTCATGCCAATATGAGCAGAAGCATTAGGAGCAGTCATGGCTATATGAGCAGAAGCAGATTTGTCATTCTGAGCCTTCATAAACTCAATAAACTTGTTGTATAAAGATGGATCACATAAGTCCAAGTCATCAGAGGAAGATTCATGTGAAGTATTGGCTAGGTGAGCATGAGTATTTTTAGCAGATGTGGATGGCAATTTGAAACCGGGAGCAGTCCTCTGTCCTTTAGGTCCTTTCCAAGTAGGAGGATAGCCAATGACTTGAAAACATTTCTCAGCAGTATGGCCTTGATAACCACAGTGAGTGCAGATAACAGAAGTTTAGCCACCCATTAAAGTTTCTAACAGAAGCCAACGACTTCTCCCGACCATACTCCCTTGAATTTCTAACTTGGGACTAAAATTTAAATAAAAAATGTAAGGACGAAAATTAAAAAGGATACCAACTTATCTTCTTGTTCATAATATTTCACTCTTGATTTAATTTGAGTAAACGTACTATGATGCACTCATATATGGGTAAATTTCACTCCAAGTTTATTGCAATTTTTCAAATACTAAATTAATTAGTACTTCGTATTTTATAAAATAAATAGGGGAAAATAATTTAAAAATACCAAACTTTAATGAGGTGTGAGATAAGTACCCCAAACTTACATATGTAATATATATACCCCAAACTTTATATAAAAATTGTTTTTCGCACCAGCATGATTGTATGTTTGTTTTACAAATACAAATTTATTAAAAATAATTATATAATTTAAAATACTCTTAAGCTTTGTTACAATGCAATTAACATTCTAAAATTTCATTTGTGAAATAAAAAATATTACATTTGGTATAATTTAATTTTAATTGCATATATCCTCATAAAAATTTTGCGTATTCTAAATTATGTACTTAACACCATAAAATTAAATTTGTTAAAAAAAATATGATCATGATGATAACATAACTTTTTTTACCATACTCCGTATAAAGTTTGTGGTGTACACACACACACACACATGGCGAAAACTTCAGTTTATTTACAAAATTGTCACCGTGTTTTATTACATGTGCAAATTTAGGGTACTTATCTCACACTCCTTCAAAGTTTGGAATATTTAAATTATTTTCTCTTATTAAATATAATAAACATTTAATTAAATAGAAAAGTGGGAAAATTATTATTAATTGGTTAAAGGAACAATTTACTCTTACGGAATAAAAACCCCAAGAGTAAATTTATATGGGATAATTTGAGTTTGCACCCCATTTTATTGTCAAAATTAGACTTTGCACCCCGTTTTTAAAAATCTTTGTTTTTGCACCCTAACCCCATATGAAAAGACAAAAATGCCCTCAATCAAGAATATGTTGAAGGTCAACAAAATTGTTGATGAAGGGGCATTTTTGTCATTTCATATTGGGTTGGGGTGAAAAAACAAAGTATTTTTAAAATGGGGTGCAAAATCCAATTTACACAATAAATTAGGGTGTAAACTCAAATTACCCCAATTTATATTTATAATTCTAGATGTATATATATAGACAGATAATGCAGAAAAGATAGAAACTTAACGGAGTATATGAGGAAGAAGTAGTTGGCTTCCGTTAGAAATGTTAATGGGTGGCTAAATTGCTAATATAACTATCAAAAGTGTGTTATTTGCCCCAAGAATTAGCTTAGTGTCCTATTTGCTCTCTAAGGAATACCTTAGTGGCTTGATTGCCCCTTAACCCGTGGATTAAATAGGAAAAATGAAAAAAACATATACTTCATAGGAACTAAAAAAACTAAAAAAACTAAAACATTTAATTAAAATTAGCATGATCTCAGCTTTAGGCAATCTTAACCATAATATAGAACAAAACTTGTTCACATTTCCTCGCAAAAAAAGAGAGAACTTGTTCATATTTAACAAAATCAATCTCAACTACATAATTTTAATTTTGATTAATCGTATTAATTGTTCATTTCCTATCACAATTTTAGTTGGTGAACGTAGTAGTTCCCAAGCAAATAACCAAATACTAAACGTGACCAACGCTTAACTTTGTCATTTTTAATTATGTTTGGCTTATCATCTTTCTTCACACAATTTGAATTATGATTAGTGTTTAAAATTTAGATATTTGGAAATTAAGCTAAATGTTCTAGAAAGGAATTCAAAACTAAACAACAAAAACAAATTCTATTCATCATTACGTCACTACTAGTAAATGAGGTCACTACTAGTAAGTGACAATTGACAAACTTGGGCAGATCCAATAATGTGTGTTATTTTGGCACCATCTGGCATTTATTGGTAGTGTATGTGTTAGGTGTTGGTAGATCTAGAAGTCAAGAACGCATAATTCTATAGTTGATTACTCCTTTTTAAAGTTTGCTACACTTTCCTTTTTTGGATGGTTTAAAAGTTTGCTATACTTTTCTCTTTTTGATAAGTTTTTTCTTTAAAAAAACTTATCTATCCTTACTTTTTCTATTTTTTATCTTCCTTTTCTACTTTTCCACCTTCTCTTCTACTTTTTCTACACTATTGATTACCTCTACTATTTTCTCCTAAAACATTGTGCGAAAAGCGAACATATAAATACCGAGGGAGTATGACTTTATAACTATTCTAGAAAACTACTACGTAAACTGATAAAACTACATCGAACCACCCCATTTATTTCCAAGAAGTACAAAAGAATTAATAATAATTATAAATGAGTTGTAATTTAAAGATTCTAGATCAATGAGATTGAAGTACTATCCTATTGCCTATATGCTTCGGATTATATTCATTAATTCATGAAGCCCTAAATATTCATATGAGAATTAGAAATCTCCAATGCTACACGTCGCATTGTATTAAAACATGTAGCATGTGTGAGGTAGACATATAAAAAATAAATTGCTGTCATTTCTTTCTCATTCTTTCCACGATTTTATACATAATTTTGATAATGTGACATGAGAGAGATAAACATCAACAACAACATCCAAGCCTTAATCTCAAAAAAATTCGGGGTCGGCTAACATGAATCGATCTCTGACATGAGAGAGATAGACATATAAATAATAAATCATTGACGTTTGGAGTTTGGCAACGTGAAGGTACGAACAGGAGTTTGATTAACAAGGAGCATGATGAGGAAGAAGATGCAGTACTGTTGGTCCGACCTCCCCCTGAACCGCCACCACAAAAGTGGAAGATGGTGGTGATCGAAAAGCTGAGACAAGACTTTTATTTTTTTGCTTTTATTTATTTTAATTGTTTGGATTATGCTATTTACTTTCGTGCATTTTTTGTTTTCTGCTGTTAAATTGTGGATTTGGATATAGGTGATGGAAGGACTGCGTTAACCGTTTTTGGCTCATTTGTGCGCATTAATGGATCAGCGAGTTATATTGCTTCTATCGAGGTGATAAACTCTGAGTCTGGTTCGAGGGGCGGCGGTTTTCAGGAGTCTTTTTGTCGGTTTACCTACTATCTGAATGATGTGTTATCAATTTAAACCTATTTCTTCAAAAAAAACGGTTGACTTATAACATACAAGAGTAGCTCCGAAGAGAAATAATCCGAGTAACAAATAATTGACATATAAAAGTTTTATTTACTTTAAATTTGTCTTCGTGTCCAACAAATTGCTCCAAACCTATCTTTATGTAATTGCTCCAAACTCATGTTCAATGTCACAAACCTTAATTTAAAAAATAAAGGGAAAACTGTCAAATAGGTGCTCGAACTTTCATAAAAAGGTCAATTATGTCCTTCTATAGAAGGTTCTGTCCGGCCATCGCGATTTGAGGCAGTTCCCGGTGGAATTTTTTGATAAAATCTTATTCACCAAGTCTAGTTTACTCATACCAAATTTCAGCTAAAAATTCAATCGGGGACACATTCAAACTAATTCTTGAAGATAACTGCGCATTTTTGCGTTCTCAAATTAATTTGCTCCCGATTAAATTTTTAGCTGAAATTTGGTATGAGTAAACTAGACTTGATGAATAAGATGTTCAAAAAATTTCATCAAAAAATTCCACCGAGAACCGCCCCAAATCGCGACGAACAGACAGAGTCTCCTATAGAAGGATTTAATTGACTTTTTATGAAAGTTCGAGGACCTATTTGACAGTTTTCCCAAAAATAAAATAAGAAAAACCCCACAAACCCTAAATTGATTAACCACAAACAAAGACCCTCCATACGAAATTGGTCAACAACATGATGGCAGGGGAGGGAAGGTAGAGCTACTGCATCTTCCTCTTCTGTAGAGTCATGGAGGGCCCGACCTTGAAAGTGCTGGTGGTTGTACGTAGTTGTGGCCGCCCACGGACCAATGCGCCTCCTTGGCCTACAACATCGGGGCATCAATGACCGGTACAAGGCAGGCTGCGTGCTGGGCATCGTATGTGGCATGTGAAGGAAAGAGGAAGGAGATCGAGTGAGGGGCTAGGCGGCGGTACGTGCTACTAAACGGCGGCAGTAGTACTTGACTGCGGCGGCCGTGCGATTGGACGGCGAGTCGGGGAATGGTAGGCGGCTGTGCAATTAGGGTTGGAGACCAGAGGCTAGTGTTTGGAGAAAAGAGATGGAAGGTTATATGGAGTATATGGTTTTATAGTTATAACCTAAATGACATATTAGTCCATAAAAATAATTTATTTATTGATTAATTACAAAATTAATTAAATTTTATAAATTTACATACTACGTATTATTTTGGGAAAAAAGTAATTAGGTCATAGATTGGGAAAGTGAGAGAGATTTAGTCACTATCTAAGATAATTATCTCAATTTAAAACTTTTGGAACTTCTATTGTTGCAATTCTGCCATTATTTAGGGAGTGTTTGCAATCACTTAAAAAAAAGCACTTCTCACCTTTTGGCTTAAAAAAGCACTTATTTACCAAACACTACCAATTTTTACTTTTTCTCGGATTGCGTGTGAAAAGTGCTTTTCCCCTTTCTATTACACAAAAGCACTTATTTTACCAAACACTATCAACTTTAACTTTTCAAAATCACTTTTTTCTCAAACACTATCAACTTTTCCTACTAATCACTTTTTCCTTACATCTCCAAAAGTGCTTTTTTTTAAGCAGAAGCAGTTGCAAACACTCCCTTAGTCATCTAGGGAAAACTCCCTTAGAAATATTTTATTATTCACTCAAGTAGTTTGGAGAGTAAGGCGCCCTATATTACCTGGAAATCATGGTTTATTAACATTCCAACCGTGCAGAAAAGAGTGGCAGCAAAACACAGAACCATCTGAAATTCCAGAACCATACTATACTCAATCCTGGCCATCTTCACCTTACTATAACTCAACTCCACCAACGGCAAAAGCAACCCCAGCAAAGCTGCACACCCAACTGTGAAAGCAAACCCCATAATATACTCCTTCTTCGACTCCCCCGCCGGACGGTCGTTTCCCGCCCGGACGCCTAAAACAACCGCCGATAAGGTCAGCAAGACGACAGCGTTTATCGTGAACGCCGTAAACTTCTGCTTCACGAGGATGAAAGCGAACAGCGACGTGAACGCGAGCTGAGAGCTCGCGATCAGAAGCACCGTCGAGACGGGAAGTTTGGCGACACCGGACGTGAAGAGGTAGTTGTTAAGGCCCATCAGAAGGCCGATGAGAAAGGCGGAGATGAAAAGAAACGGCGTGATGTGGTGGAACTCACCGGAGTCACTTGTCTGGCTCCGGCGGCGACAGTGGTAGATGAAGGAGACGGAAAGAGGGATTAAAGTGACTGGCCAAGCGGCGGTTTGCTGCCAGGTTGTAAACCATATCCGGCTTCCGCCGCCGATGAAGTAGAGGCGCGCGAGAAGAGGGTTACCGCAGCTTCCGATGCCCATCAATATGGCGTTGAACAAAATGGCGGCTGTCCGTAATCTTGTCCATCCTTCGGCTCTTCCCATCTTTCTTTCTTGTATACGGAGTATATTAGTTTCTCGACACTCCTATTTATACTTTTAGGCTCTCTAATAATCACCGACAGAGCAGGGCATTGGACTAGACTGGACCGATACAAAGAATATTTTTGAAATAGATTTATTAGGGATGTGGACGTTACGTATTCCAATCTCACCTTGACGCTATTTGAACACAAATCTAATTGATAGTCTATGGTTGCTTGACTATAATTTGATTGTGATGCAAAATATGGGCGATAGGGTTCCTCTCTTACAAATTTTGCTTGGTAAAGAATAATTTTAGTTCAAATACAAAATTGTAGACAATGTTGAAAACTCTATTGACTCTTTTGTTCATGTTGATGAATATTATTTTAGAGATACGTGGAAGCGTTTTTTGCGCACTCCCGTTATTCTTGATATAGGGAAAGATGTAAAAAGGAAACAGAAAAGGGGCGAGTGAGTTGGTTCTGGTAGATTTTCTATATAAGGAATGGTTTTTTGTTTTTTTGTTGCGTAATTGGACACGTAGAAGCATTTTTTCCTAACTTATGGATAGTAGCACAAAAGGGCTGGAAAGAGCGCATTGTACGCAGTTAAGGCTAATGGATGTGAATGACAATGAGCGGAGGGAACAAGTTCACGACTGGAGGTGATAAGAGATAATGACATGATAAAGAAAGTAGGAGCCGTGAAACGACTTTGCAGTGTAAGGAGGGCACTGACTCAAAACGACTGTTTATGAAGTCTAGAGAAGCAACTTTGTATGTACTAATACAAATACATTGTTTGATTAATTGCTTAATTTAATTTTAAATAACACACAAAGTAATTTCACAACTTTATAAAAAATATGTAAAATATTTTACCATCTCTCATGTGGAAAATTTTTTATATGGTAAAATAGGAAATATTTTACAAAAATGTCATACAATATATACAAAAAAATCAAATCCAACAATATAGTTTACATTCTTACATTTCCTATGCTAAATTTCACTTCACAATCTTATAAGAAGATGCATTTATACATCCACAATTTCACTTTGTAAGGTAAACATGATATTTATATTATCATCTCTCCTTTAGCAACATCTAAATCTCATGATTCAGTTTCCTTAAAAATAAACAATTTACATGTTCAAGTATGCGTTTTGGCCAATGAAATAATAAAGTCAAAATTGTGTGATCAAAATCTGTGCAAATCAAATGAGAGAGAATTAACTTTAATCATACATTTACTATAACTACTTTAAATAGAAATGAAATAAAATTGCAACTTCTAAACAATGAAAATTGACAAACATTTGTGGGATGGATGGAGTATTAAATTAGAAGAATTCAATCCTTACTAAATTCATTCATAAAATTGGTAATTAATTGTGATCGTAGAATTAAATTTAGTTGAAAAACAGACATTAATTTTATGGTAATAAATAACAATCTTTATAAAAATATACTACCTCCATCTCAAAAAGTTTGTCATATTGACTTTTCATGATTTATGGTGGCAAGGTTGGACAATGATTTTAGTTTTTATAAAAATGTAATTATTGTTGGAGTAATTTATCCAAGGACAAATTATTGGACAAAATGATATCCATATTATTAGAGAGTAATATATTTTCTTACAAAATTCATGTCTTTGTCCCATTCCTCCATACGACCATCCTTACTGGGCAACTGCATACCCCACTTCATCCTCCCCACAACTTACAAACACAAATGTTTCAATCACGCCTACATCTTTGCCGAGCTATGAGCCACAAGATTCAGATGACGAATTGGAAGAGATAATTTCAGAGAAGCTGTCTGACCCGGAAGAAACACTCAAGCAATTCATGCAAGCAACTGGGGCGCATCATCAATCAACGCAGTTGAGTCTTCAGAAAATGGAAAATCACTTGGATCAGCTGTTTAACGCCTTATCTGAGGAATCCGAGAGATCCCATCCTAGTGACACAAAAGCCCAATCTGAGGAGACCAATAGGGATGATCATGGGATTGAGTCAGACTATGATGGTGGAAATATGATGAATGATACACTTCCTGATGCTTTTTAAGACCCTCATATGTTTGAAGAAGAAGAAGAAGATAATAGCGCCACGTTGTTTTTCCAAGAATATAGAAAAAGGTTTGAAACGGTACAAGCTGTAACTGATGAAGTCACTGATCACTGTGATTTTCATATAGAAACTCCCCAGCCATTTGATTTACCATTAGTCTCAACACCTGAGGATGGCAAGGAGCAGATTAGTCATGACATTGATGCAGCCACTGAGGTAGGCTTGGGTACTGAAGATGAGTTGGGAAAAGATGATAACATGCTCCAAGAGAGTGGGGGCGAGGTAGATAATGTCCATAATGAAGAAGTCCCGCTCCACAAGCAAGAAATCCCTTCTTGTACACATGCACCGGTCCACTCTTACATGGTTTCAGATTTGGATTTCTTTGATCCATTCCTTGGTGATGATATTTCTTTGTGTGTGGAGAATGATCACAACTGCTTGGAGGATATTAATAAGAAGAGTGACGAAACGAATTGGGATGCATTCATGGGGAGTGATACAGAGTCTGGAGGAGAGGTTGTGAATGTTCATGATATTTGTGGAGAAGAAAAAGACTTTTCTATGGTGCAGTTCGATCACGGTGTTGCTCCTAATCTTTGCTTTGAGACATGTTTTGAGCTTCCAGTGACACCTAGAGTAATCAAAGTTTTTACTCATGTTCCCTATCCGCCCGAAGAGGATGAGAGTTTCATACTTCACTTATGTGCTGATGAGGGTTATGAAGACCATGCGCTTCCTAAGTGTTTTCAAGAATTTAAGAATCTGTGCCACTTAATGGCATTGGTTGAGAGGAAGCTGGAAACGTTAATTATTAGTGCACCACTACAGTCTGTGCTATTTGCTTCTCGGGAGGCAACCTGAGCTTATTTCTGCTTTTGATTTTGCTTTGTTTGTTGTTTGGTTGTTTTGCTTTGTGTTTTTGTTGCAGCTCAGGGTCTTGTTGTAGGGATGATGTGCCGAGGATTACATTGACTCAGTTTAGTTCTGCACCGACCAGCACCTTAGGGAAGTTTCTGCGACTCTATTATCGCCTGTTATGTAAATGTTGATTTGAGTTGAGATTGAGCACGCGTGACCCTTTCCTCTTTACCCCTTGTGCATAGTGCATTTTTTGTCATCGAGGGCGTTGCCAAAGTTTAAGTGTGCGGGAGTGAATTGGACATTCGGAAAGTAGTTATTACATGTGATTATTAGAGTTTGCATGCGCAAGTGTTAGTTGTATATTCATAGAAAAGTCATGTCAAAAATTCTGAAATTTTTTCTTTATACTATGTCTTTGTGAGCTGGCTAACGTTTTGACTATGTTTTTTGAACATCTTTGAAGTGTTTAGGCTTAAATTGTTGCACTATAATCTAATTGTTGAGATGATGAAGGCATTAGTCACCCATAGAATTTTCCATTAATCACCCACCCCACCTAAATAAGTTCCTTTAGAAGAAACCACTTTGAGCCTGACCATTTATTCTTTACCCAATTAATTGAGCTCCATAGCCAAATGACCTGTTTCCTTACCCGTGAATATGTCTGACATAGTTTTGGTGTTTAGGGAATTAGGGGATTAATTTGCTAAATTTAGGGAATTTTTGTAGGAGCCATTTTTGGCACTGTTCCTATGCCCCAAATGGGGTAAGAGCAGTCACTTTTTAGGAATTTGATATTTTCGAGGATTGCATTGTATGCATGGATTCACTTTGAATTAATGAACTTTAATTGCTATTTTTCCTTGGTGAGGCCGAGATTAGAATGGGCTAATGTCTAGTGAGAATCCGAAAGGTGAAAAATTAATATAGCTAGACCTCTTGCCTTGCGAAAAAGGGAATGGGAGCCCCAGTCAAAAAGCGTAAGATGAGACTAGGGTATCTTTCGAAAGAAACGGCGTTCTTGTGCCAACATGACAAGAAAAACTGAACCTAATTAAATGAACTTGGAGGCTATTGTAAAAATTTAGCTTTAGTCTTCCACGTACTTCAAGTATACGTCAAAGCACAAAAGCGCCGAGATGGTTTAGCTTAGTTGTACACCATGTCTACTCTTTGCATAGGTTTAAATGATTTTTTTTCTAAATTGTGGCCTACTAAGTTTTTTGATCCTAAGAATAGCCTCGAAATACCTGAATGCATCAGGTCTTTGTTAGGATGTTCCAAACTCTCAAGAAAGGAACTGTTTATCATTACCATTCACCCTTCACCACCATTTTCACAAGTCCTTCTGACCGGTAGCTAGTTTATTTGTGTGTGCTGTCACTACTTTGAGGATGTTGTGAATAATTTTGTCAAATATTTTAGCTAGAGTACAAAGATGTAGTTTAAGGAAGAATTTTCTTGGTTTAGTCTGTCTGTCCTGTGAGTATCTCTGTAACTACGTGTGCATGCTAACTATTTTTATTCCGTGTGGTGATTATCGTAAGTCCCGTTGTTCAGTTTGCTTGAGGACAAGCAAAGGCTTAAGTGTGGGGGAATTTGATAAGTCCGTATTTAGACACGCATTTGATGCATGTTGAGATCGGCTTTTGATGGTTTTCCTAGCTTTAAGGTGTTACAAGTCTCAATTTTAGCTCAAGTTATGTTTACTAGACGTTGGTTCAAGTTTTGTGTCATTTGGAGTCAAAATGAGGAATTTAGAGTTCAACATCGGCACTTGAGGAGCAATCGGGGCGATTCAAGATGCATTCGAGAGTGGATTGAGAGCTTTGGAGGTCACCGGGAGGTTCACGGTGAAGATTTGATGACAAAAGAGCTCCAGGATTGGCTATGGGATCAAAAGAAGATGACTAAAGCGGGAAAACGACGATCAGGATGACCTTTGGTCAATCGTTCAATCCTATCTCTTTGTAGAAGCATTCAAAGAACACGATTCAAGTTGCATAATAAAGACAACTTCAAGGGATACAAATCATGTGAAGACATCATTCCGAGAATCGGAGATTAGAAAGGTG